GCAGCATCATGAAGACACGGGCTCCTTGCGGAATCCCATCGTCTACCGACATATATCACCGAACACGCACGTGCGGGTGGCCGGCTGCCCGCTTCCTGAGATCACAGTAAGATAAAGATACAAGCATCCACAGTCCCAAGATGAATTCACTGATTTGGCATTGCCCCAGCACCACCTTGGTCCTGGGCCCTGAGAACTCAGAGATACAGGAGACGGAGCTGAGTTCCTGGACTGTCCCATCTGATGGGGGAGCCGGTTACAGTGCAGGTTGGCCCAGCGGAGGGTGAGGCTGTATCGGAGGAGCTCAGACGAGGGGCGTCTGAGATCACAGTAAGATAAAGATACAAGCATCCACAGCCCCAAGATGAATCCACTGATTTGGCATTGCCCGAGCACCACCTTGGCCCTGGGCCCTGAGAACTCAGAGATTCAGGAGACGGAGCTGAGTTCCTGGACTGTCCCGTCTGATGGGGGAGCCGGTTACAGTGCAGGTTGGCCCAGCGGAGGGTGAGCTGTATCGGAGGAGCTCAGACGGACATCCAGTCGGCCTTCAGTAAGTGCCATGTGTTTGTCATACCCCAGAAGCAGATGGTGGAGGGGCCCTGGGAGAGGGAGACCCTGTTCGCTTCCTTTATTTTCTGGGCACGAAAGACCGTGCTTCCGGTACCAAGTGAGTGGGAAGCTGCCCCGGGAGACGCAGTTGCTACGGGGAGGGGCTGCGGTGAGGCCAGCGCACCTGGAGGCCCGGTGTCAGGGAAGATGCTGCTGCCGAGGCCCTGGACATCGAGGAGAAAAGTCAGGCCTATCCTTGCCCTGCATGTCAACCATCAGCTGGAGTGCATCTGCAGAGAAGAAAACGTTATGTCACCACTGGCAATGCGACGCCATATTTTTCTAATGCGCTTTAAAGTAAATACGGAACATTTGGGCCTTAAAACAATGTTTGCCCGTGGACCCCCTGACATCCTTTTCTGTATCTTTGCAGAATAGGTGCCATTCTTTGGGGAACTCTTCTCTTTAATATTTCTACTATTCGTAATAATTATAATACAATAGCAACAATAAAAAAGTAAAGATGAGACACATGGGACTTGCTGTGTGCCAGGCACGGTTCTAAGTGCGTTTATATGTATTAGCTAATGTGATTCTAATGACAGCCATACGAGGAGGTATTGTTTTTATCCCCCACTTCGCAGATGGCAACACTGAGGCACGGAGACATTTAGTTACTTCCTCCAGGCCGCACAGTCCGTGTGCGGAGGAGCCAGATTGGAACCTCGGCAGCCTTGCCCTGAAGCTGGCCTTTTAACCATTTCTCACACTGTCCGCCAACTCTCCTTCCTCCAGCACCTATGGACAGTTTTGGTTTTTTAAAATATATTTTTATTGATTTCATAGAGGGGGGAGAGAGAGAGAGAGAGAGAAACATCAATGATGAGAGAGAATCATTGATTGGCTGCCTCCTGCACACCCCCACTGGAGATCGAGCCCACAACTTGGGCATGTGCCCTTGACCGGAATCAAACCCGGGACCCTTCAGTCCACAGGCTGATGCTCTATCCACTGAGCAAAACCATCCAGGGCGGACATTTTAGGCTGGATGCTTATCTAGGCTCCTGGAGGAAGAAAGGAGACTGGTTAAGCCCCCAGCACACAGTAGGTGCTTAATGAATGGCAGTTGCTCTTCATTATTTAGAGTATACAACTCTTGTTCACATCCATGAGCTCAGTGAGACATCCTGGGCTCACTGGTTGGTAGGTGGGGAAGGTGTTATAGTCCCATTTTACAGATGAGGAAACCGAGGCTCAGAGCATGCAAGTGACATATTCAAGGTCACACAGCTGGTGAATGGGGGAGCCACGCATGGAGCTCAGCGCTCCAGAATGCAAGTCCCCCTCTCTTCCCCCTCGCAGTGCCTTGCCTGGTAGCACCGAATGGACTGATTAATAAATAATACTGGTTGGCTTGTCTTAAAAGCGTGTCCTGCCAAGTCCTGTAGCGTCTTCTCTGTAATTACCCCATTTTCTCCTGCGGGGGCTAATGAGCTTCCTCAAGACTTGCTCCTTTCCCAGTGGGAAGGGGTCTGTCAGGACACAGGCCGGTCCGGGGACCCAGCCATTCTCTCTCTAGTTTGCTCTTTCTCGTTCTCTCTTTTTCTTTCTCTCCCGTGTCTCTGCTGCATTTATTTGTTTTGTCTTTGACGGATCCCCTGGGATGAGCTGTGCTCCTGTGACATTTCTTCCCTTTTGTGTTCCTGATGATAGCATTTCCCTGGAGGCTCTTAAAAGAGAAGGATGGAGGGAATAAAGCACCGCTTGCCTGGCAGGGCCATCCAGCCACAGAGCCTGGCGGCCGGACGAGAGCTTGGAGCATGCGTCCTTTCTCTTCAAGCCTCCTCCTGTGTGGACATGTGTGCAGCTGCACGTGCACACGGAAACACACATGCACGTGCACACTGTATTGTAGGACAGGCTGTGATATGATTGAAACACGGGTTCCTCTGGCCAAGAGGGAGCTCATGATCCCTAAGGCTGAGTTGCTGTGAGATGATCTCTAAGGCCTCTCATCGTAGGCTCCTCTGCAGACTTGCTGTATCAGGTTCCCACGGCCCCTGTAACAAATAAACGTAGTGGCTTAAAGTAGCCCAGGCTTATTACCTGCAGTTCTGGAGTCAGAAATCCTAAAATCACGTGTTGTCAGGGCTGCGTCCGTTCGGGAAACCTGTTTCCTTTGCTTTGTCAGCTTCTGGAGGCTGCCTGCTTTCCTTGGCTTGTGGCTACTTCCTTCCACCTTCAAGGCCAGCAACATAATCTCTCTCTCTCTCTCTCTCTCTCCCTCTCCCTCTCCCTCTCCCACTCTCTCTTATCCCTCCCTTCTCCCCTCCCTTTCCCTCTCCCTCTCCTTCCTTCCCTCTCCCCCTTCTTCCCTCCCTTTCCCTCTCCCTCTCCTTCCTCCCCTCTCCCCCTCTTTCCCTCCCCTTCCCCCCTACACAGTTCATCATCACCTCTCCTCTCTGACCTCGGTGCCCCCATTTTCCCCTTATTAGGGTTCTTGTGATTACACTGGGCCCCTCCAGGTAACTCAGGGTAATCTCTCCATCGAAGATCCTTACCTTAATCTTACCGGTAAAGTCTCATTTGCCGTGTAAGGTAATATATTCACAATATCTTGGGATTAGAATATGGACATCTTTTGAGGCCATTTTTCTGTCCCACTTGCCAAGTGAAACGGAAACGTTTTTGTGTGCAACCTTCTTTCCTTTGGGGCTCTCTCAGTGCCCATCTCTCTGGGAGACAGTACAGCACAATGGGCCCTGAAGCAGACAGCTGGATTCACACCCTGCCGTCCCCCTCTTCCTAGCGGTGTTACCTTGGGCAAGTCACCTACCCTCTCTGTGTCTGGTGGCCTCATCTGTAAGATGAGCGAATAATGTAACACAACTTAATCGTCATGTCATGGGAAGTACTGGGGTGACAAAGATATCATGTGGCGAACAATAAGCACCAACAATAAATGGGAGAGGCCATTATAATTAGGGGTCTATGTAGCATAATAGAAACTCAGAGGGCCTTGGTTCAAATCCCAGTCTCCCCGCGTATGAACAAAATGGCCTCAGGCTATTTGCTTCCGGTGTCTGAGTCTATTTTCTCAATTGTTAAAATGAAAATAAAACAATGAGCCCGGCCGGCATGGCTCAGTGGTTGAGCGTCGACCTATGAACCAGGGGGTCATGGTTTGATTCCTGGTTGGGGCATAGGCCCGGGTTGTGGGCTCAGTCCCCAGTGTGGGGCATGTAGGAGGCAGCTGATCGATGATTCTCTCTCATCATTTATGTTTCTCTCTCTCTCTCTCCCTTCCTCTCTGAAATCAATAAAAACATATGGTTTTAAAAAATAAAACCATGATAATATTAACACACGGGATTGCTGTGAGGATAATAATAATACGGTGCCCGAGGGCCACCCGGAACACGTGGGTGGCTTTGGTTGCTAGAGGTATCACCACCACCATCATTCCCCATCCTCCCTGGGGGTGATGGGCAGCCTTCCTGGGCTGCCTCCGGCCCCAGCAGAACAAGGACAGGGCAGGGCAGGCAGCTTGCTGCATCCAGGGCCCTGAGGCCCCCCTTTGCAGGCTCCGGCTTCGGGAGGCCCAGAGCAAGGCCCGCTCAGTCTTGAGGTGTCTGGAGTTGGGGCGGCTCCCGGCTGCAGCGCTGTTAGAGGTTACAGCAGCAGCTGGTTCTTCGGACGAGGGGCTCTGGGGACAGAAGAGGGGTTTGGAGATGGTGACCAGGAGGATGGGGGCAAAATTCCCCAAGAAGACAGGGCTAGTTCCTAGATGGCGTGATACCAGGGAAGATGCAGGGTTCTGGTTTCAACCATATTATCTTTTAAAAAATTTTGCTGCAAAGCCCTGTTTCAATGAAGACTTGGGCAGATGCCCAGTATGCAAAACGGTTAAAAGCACTACTGCTCTAGTGGAAACTAGGGTGGGTGTGGGGGGGCAGCAACTTGAGCCTCTTTTTCACTCCCATGGGGACCTCTAGGGGGCCCCATTTGAGAAAAACTAGAAGGGTGGCTAAAACCAACAAAAACAGGCTTTGGAGTCAGACCCGAGATCCTTGGCCCTGCCTCTGCCACCGCCTGGTGGTGTGAGCTGTGGGGCTTCCCTTCACCTGTCTGAGCCTCAATCTTCTTGTATGAAAATGGGACCATAATAGCACCTGCCTCATGAGGCTGTGAAGACTGGCGGCAGAAACTCTAGAGTGCCTAGGCCAGCACCCAGTATGTGGTAGATGTCCTGGCATTTAGCAGGTGGTAGCTGTATTGACAGGCCCCCTGAGAACATGTGTCTAATGCCCAGGGAAGCTGTGAGATAGAGTAGATATTCCTTGGGACCAGGAGCCGAAAGGCTTGGGACCTAGTTGGGTTCTGAAGATCTGCCACCAGCAGCCTGTGTGACTTTAGTCCCTCTCTGGGCTTCTCGAATCACCTTTCAGGTGTTTATTGAGGGGGCTACCATGCACCTGGCACTGTTCTTGGCACTAAGACAGAGGTCCTGGCATCAGAAAGGCTGGGTTCCAGGTTCAACTCTACTACATCCTAGCTCTTTGGCTGTGGGTAAGTCACTGCCCCTCTCTGGCCCTCAGTTTCTCCATGTGTAAAGTGAGGGGGTTGAACTTGTGTCATAGGGCCTTCCCAGGAAAGATGCAGTGAGATCCTGCCAAAAAATTGTAGAATGCACTTGAACTTGACTCTGACCTTCTGAAACATGGGCTTTGGAATCATACAACCTTGGGTTTGAATCCTGTGCCTGCCACTTACTATGTAACCTTATGCAAGAGACTTCTTGAGTCTCAGTTTCCTCATCTGTAAGATGGGGATAAGACTAGTATCCTCACAGGGTCATGGTGAGGACTCAAGGTGATGATACAGGTAAAGATCCTAGCAGAATGGCTGGTGCATAGTTGGTTCTCAATAAATGACAGCTGCCTTCACCACCATCAAAATCACCATCATCATCACCATAAAGGCCACCACCATCATCACCACCACCAGCATAAGCATCATGATCGTGAGCATCTGTGAAGTGTAGCTCTAAATGGTCTCTGAGATTCTGACATCTGAAGCTCCGCTTTACAAGGGGAGAATTCAGTGGCAAGTGTGGCAGTTCGCCCTGGGGCACCTGAGCGGCACCCTTTGGAGGAGGGTCCCCAATAAAGAGGCTTCTCCTTCACTTTGCAGAGAAGGTCTACACGGACCTCGGTCTGTTTGAGATTTCCTGTCCTTTGTCCATAGTCAGCAGGAGCAGGACCCTTGAGCTCTGCAACGCTGGAATCCACGGGAATCAATTTCTCTTTGTGTATCTGTCCTTTTAATGGTTGCATTTTCTTGTCCATTTAGCGGTGTCACTTCAGAAGGTCAGTCTGCATCTTCTGGGGCCGGGTCTTTGGCGAAGGCTCAGTCGTCCGATTTAGACCCCCCGTCACCTCCCAACGTCATCCTGCTCAAACCACAGGGCGCCCAGGGACAGGAGGGCCTGGCACCGACCATCCTGGCTGGCTGTCAATCCCTCTCTCCCTCTGTCAAAACATCTGAGTCGTGGGACAGGCTGTGGATCGTGGGATCATAGCAGCTCACATCTCGTGGGTTCTTCTTGTTGCTCTTGAACCTCTTGCTTCCTATCTTTGGGGAAATCGAGTAGTCGCAATCTCGTTTTATAGATGGGACTTGGAGACATTCAATGACTTTTACAAGGTTGTGTGGAGGCTAGACCTGGGTCCCAGAAACTACTGGGTCCAGTGCTTCTTCAACTAAGCCACCCTGTCCCTTAAACATCTCCCTTTCCTAAGGTTTGTCTTTCCTATTCCAAATTCCCGAGGCTCCCGAGGTCCAGGTCAGAAATCTGCAACGATGTGGGGGAGGACAGGTCAGCTGGGCTGATTTCTTTCGAGAAAAACCACTTGAATGCTCCCACGCTGGGTTGTCAAACTCTCCTCCAGGCAGAGAATGAGCGGTGAAGGAAGGTCTGGGGGCATGTGTGGGAAAGGGGCTGCGAAGTGACAGCTCCTTTGCTCCGAGAGTGAGTGACACTATTAGAGCGAGCGTGCGGTAGGTAGGCTGCCAGTGACTTCACTGTGCGATGGCGAGCAGTCCCGTCTCCCTCCTTCCCCTGGACTCCCCCTTCTCTGCGCTAACCATCCAATAACTTAACTTCGCTGCCTCAGGGTTCGCTTCCCGCCCATCCCCTCCTCCTCCACGTCTTAGCGCTGTCCGTGGTGCTGATCGCCAATCTCCTGACTGCCGCTCCGACCAGCTGGGATCTCTGATGCGCACAACCTCCCCTCCCCGCCTCCCACCTCTCTTTCTCCAGGCACCTCGCACATAAATCACGGTGGGAGGCAGGCTCGGTTCCCCTGCGCCGGGAAGCTGCTGCCCCCTCCCTCGCTCAGCAGAGGGCTTTGCAGCAGTGGAGGAGGCAGCGCCGCTGATTTCGGGCACCGGGGAAGCAACCGATTCGTCGGCTGCCAGCAGCCCCGAGTTGCCTACGCGGAAGACAGAGAGGAAGAGAGAGAGAGAGAGAGAGAGAGAGACTGACTTACAGAGCAAAACCCTTCATCCCTGTGGAGGACAGTCTGAGGGAGCCACAGTCTGCCTTGCCCACCAACTGGCTGACTTTTCTCCTCGCCTGGCGGTGGTATTTCTTTTCGTCTTGGTCCTGCGTGATTTAGGGATAGTTGGTGCGTGTGTGCGTGCGTGTGTGTGTGTGTGTGTGTGTTGGCACTTTGATTTTATTTTGGGAAGAGTAAGAGAGTCAAATGGACAATTTTCTTCCAGGCACCTCCGCTGAGCTTTCAAACCAAGTCACCGGGAGTTAACATCTTCCCACCCCGCAGGGAAGGGAGGAGTTGGCAAGAATTTGGCTCAGCCGTCCCCCCTGCAATCCGCTGGTGTTGTGGTAAGTGATATTCCCCTCAGTTGTGCAAAGGGGCTGGGGGTATTGGCATCCCAGTTGCACGAGGTGTGTGCATGAGCTGGTGGGGTGGAGGGTAGGTGGGAGGGGAGGGGCGTTGAGGAACGACCACATTTACTTGCCCACATTCTGCAGTGTTTGTTTGATCGCCCAAGCGGCACCCCAAAGCCAAATTAGATTTCGGCTCAGTGCCCAGGGAGGGGTAAAATATGCTCATGTTTAGGCATTGCGATCAAAATTGTGGCTTCTGCCCAATTTGTCCTCTCCCCTGCAGCAGAGGCTGTTGAAAGTAGCCGGCAGTTCTCGGAGTGAATTAACCCTTCGGGGGGCCGGCCAGCCTGGCATGGAGGGTCTCTGGATGTTCTGATCTAGTGGGTGGGCATCTCCCTGGATGGGAGAGGGTCACCTGAGGCTGGAAGGCTAACCCGTGCCTAGGGTCACCTCGGCACACCAGGTAGGCTTGCGCAGGACAGGCTCAGGTTGTGCTATCTTCTAGGGATAGCCGAGTAATTCAATTGTGTGGTTTTTGTAAGCTTGGCTGTCCTGAGCTTTGAGATAAGAGATGTGGGAGCCATGAAGGGACCACATTTTGCTTGGAACGAGTGGTTGGACAGGCCAGAGGGGAGCAGCCAGCTGCCTGCTGAGCAGACGCTGTTTTATTTTCACAGGTGGTGTAACCTGTAAGTGAGGGTATGGGGGGGTGCGTCCTGGTACCAGCCTGGGGGACTCCATCCTTGAGCCCATCTCAGAGTGGGGAAGGCAGGGGACAGCGTTTGTGCTGATGCTGGGGAAGGGCTGCGAGCTCCAGTTTCAGATCTGTTCCCAGGCAGAGCCTACCCTGCTGTCATTGCTTGATCTGACATCCTGATGGGCTAAGCCTGCGCCAACCTGTAGTGAGTGACAAGCGGAGGTCCTTTGCAGGTGAATCCAGGTGAATCACATTTCATTTTAAAGTGCCTTTGCTGCTAATCTGTGACTTATCAAAAGGGGATTTCTCCTGGCTTCCTGCTTTGATGACATCCACCTTTCTGGGAACGAAGGCCCTTATTTTTAGCATCGCTGCTGTTGTCTCAGGGTTGCTCCAGTCTTCCGCATCCCCAAGGATTTCCTCCTTAAGTTCTTGTTCTTGGAGGCGGGAGGGATTCAGCCTCACCCCCAGAGACTGGCAAGCCTGGGGTGCAGGCAGAGCCCACTCAGTCACCTCCCGCCCCAGGGCCATGCGGGGACGCCGAACCCCAGGGCACGTGCCTGCTCAGGCAGGACGTGTGGGGCAGAGGGGGCGGGTTCTCAGTGGTTAGTGCCCAAGATGTGGTCCTCAAATCCTCGGCTTCCTTTGGTGGATGACCTTGAGGACAAAGTTGCCTTAGTTTCCTCCCTGGAAAGCCTCAACTATAAATGAGGAATGAGAGGCTCAAATTAGGAGCCACATATCTGGCCATGGGTGATACTGAACTTGGGCATTGACTGGCCAGACTGGGCTAGGACTGGGCCCTGGAGTGGGGGAATCTCAGGGGTCCCCTGAAGTGCCGAGTGTTAACCTTTGAGGGTTCAGAGTGGACTGGGGGAGGAACAAGGGAGCCACAGGGGCCTCAGCGTAACATCACCACCTGGCACGGGAGTGTGTTAATGTTCTAACGACTGGGTCAGCCCTGCGGTCCATGCCAGCCCCGCTGAGGTGGCCAGGACTGGGTTGTCCAACATGGGTGCTTTCGAAGCATCTCTGTGCTGTCTCCCAGCTGTGCTTCCCTGGGGGTGGCTACGATCCAAGAGGCCGCCTTGCCTCCTCCCCCATCACATTTGAAATGGTGCATTGTGGTGCGCCAGGAAGACAGAGACCGGAGTTCCGGAATGAGCCTTGCACTTGGGGTGGGAGACCTGGGTTCTGGCCCTGGCTCTGCCTCGCTTCCCGGGCCTCAGTTTCTCCGCCTGTGCAATATGGTAGTTGGCCTTGGTGACCCCAGGCCCCTCTGGCTCTGAGGTTAGTGGCTGTGTGCTAAGTACGTGTGCGTGTGTACGTGCTTCTAGGAAGGGTTAGCACAGTCTCTGGGAATTTATCACGTGTGTTGAGGGTCCCTGTTTGGGATAAACTGGGGTGGGATGGGGGTCTCTTGCAACACGTTGGTGGGGTCCCGGAGTCCCCCAGTCTCCTCAGGTGGAGAGGGCTCTGCGGTATGTATGGCATAGGCAGATGCAGAAACACACAGATTTGCAGCACATGAAGGCCCTATAGACTAATCCCAGGGGCGACAGCAAGGACCCCATTGAGGACCCCCCCATGCTGAAAAGATGCATATTCACTCAAACGCACAACAGCAGGGGATTTGTGGGCCCTTCCTAATGCCCATCTGAGCACCTCAAGTTCAGAACCTCTGATCTAGCCCAACCCCTTTGGGGGGTGCCCATCGAGGGAAAGCAACCTGCCCAAGACCACACAGTAAGTCATGGCACAGCAGCATATGCATCTACCATCATGAAGACAAGGCATCATCCCCTCACTGCAGGCTCCGGCAGCCGCCTGTCTGCCCCCCAGCCTGGGATGTGGAGGAAGGACAGGAGCACCTGGCCAGCCCGCATAGGTCACAGGGAAGCAGAGCAGGAGACAAATGCGGGCACCCCCTTTCTCACTCGCAGGAGAGAGGCAGCGGCCAGGGTTTCTGCAGTGGAGAGTCAGCCTCCGCAGCTGGCTCTGCTGCTCCCCTTCCCTCCTGCTCCCTCCCGTCCTGGCTGGTCAGGGCGGCCGCTCTGGGGGTTTCTTTGTAGCATGTGGTATTTACTCTTTATCCACCCCCTCCCCATCTCTCTCTCGCTACATGGGTCACAGAGAGTTTGTAACTTTCTCATAAAAACCACCATGACATATGGACCTGTCTTCTGCTCTCTATCCCCTTCGAGCGGGGAGCTGGTCATAAATGCAGACGAATCGGCAGCCGATGTGAAGACGAGAAGCCAGCGGCGCAGTTTATTTCTGTTAAGCACTGTGGCTGCAACCTGGGATAAAAATAGCCCCGGGACCCAGGCTGGGCTGGAGCCGAGGAGCTTAAATTATTCAGCTGCCCCGGGATGGAGGTCCTCCATGTGCTGGGAAGTGAGGGAGGCACCCCAGCCCCCTCTTCTTCGTGCTTCCCATCTGCCACCGGCGCCTCTGAGGGCTGCAGCGTGGGGCGCTGGGAGCAGCCAGACCTGAGTTTGAATCCTGACTCCAGTGCTTCCTGGCTGTGGGACTTCAGGCAAGACCCCCAACCTCTCTGAGACGCGGTGTCCTCAGGCACATTAAGGTCGTCCTGCGTGGTGGCTAAGGGTGTGGGCTCTGGAAATAGAGCTCTTGCTGTAGATCCTGGTTCTGGCACTTTCTAGTGGTCTCCGTTCACCTCTCTGGGTCTCAACTTTCCTACCTGTAAAGTGGCAATAATAAAGGAATTAATGAGAATTTTAAGAGTTAATGCTCGCAAAGGACCTGGCAAGGAGTAAGTGTCCAACACATGTCAATAATGGGGATGGTGTTGGTGACAGTACCAGTGAAATTACCAATGACCCAAACAGCATCTGGGTGAGGGAGAGGGAGGTGACTCCTTCCTGCCAGACACGCAGCCTTGTGACCCAGGAGAGAGAGGACGTGGCTTGGAGACAGGAGACTTCCCACCCCACTTGTTCCCTGTGTTTTTCGTGCAGTTGATGGAGGTCCCAGGTCCTCAGTTTCTTCATCCATGAAATGGGCATAACCACCTCATTTCCTTAAAGCGTGGGAGGCCCTGAGGACCAGGGCTGCTGTGATGGTGGTGAGCAGGTGCTGCAGGAAGAGGGACAGGAGGAGAAAGCTTTGGACTCTCCGGAGTCTCGTTCCTCCTAGCCCTGGAGGCTTTTGCTGAGTCATCCCAAATCCACCAGCTCGGCGTCTGTGAGTTTTTCCGAGAAGACCCGAGCTTTGCCTCCCGCCCTCCACGGTGCTCCTGCACAGGCTCCTCGGGTGCTACATGGCGGGATCCTTAAAGGCCAGAGCTGTGCCATCTCCATTTTTGGTGTCAGAGTTAGCACAGAGCTCAGCAGTGACTTTCATGCATGCATGCATGAAAGAATGAATGAATGCATGAATGAATGAATGAATGAATGAATGAAATCTCAATGGATTGACAGGCCAATTTGGGGAGGTACCTTGGCCTGTGGTCCAGCCAGAGACATGCATGCAGCAGGCGCTTAGTGTTTGCAGATTATGGTGAGTCATGGGTGAAGTTGGGAGGACTTGGCTTTCACCTCCGATCTGCTACAGGCAGCCCACAGGCCTCGCTCTCTTCCTGCCCAGACATTCATCAACACTTCCTCATGCGTCGCACACTCATTGAGTACTTACAGTGTGCATGGCACCATGGTGGGCACTGGGCATAAAATGGTGACAAAGACACAATGGGACTTAGATAAAGTAAGTGGCTACTTATAACAGGTGATCTTTTGGGGGTGGTACTTAGTCACCCTAAAACACTCTGCTCACTGACGTCCAAAATCCCATCATTAAAGTTTCATTCTTTGTCTCAGGGCTTGTTCTTGGATCAAGGAGCAGGAGCTTTGAGGTGGGACGGTACAGCCAGCGTCCTTAGTAGTCATTTACCTTAACGAGGGGGAGTTGTACAGGACTTTCCCAAAAGCGAGGAGAGGTTGTTTTGGAGTGGGGAGTGGAGTTCACACGCACTAATCTTGCAGGTAAAAGAGAGGGCAGAAGGCAGAGAAGGGCGAACGCTGCCGGGTATACATTCTATTGGGGATGCAAAGCTCCAGAATCGCCCCGAGAACCCAAGGGCAATTCCTGGGTTGCACCCGTGCCATCAGGCACTCTGAGCGCAGGGCCCTGGGACCTGTGCCCTCACAAGCCCCCACTGCCATAGATAAAGGAGTGTTTTGTGAAATGCAAAGCGCTTTTACAGGTGTTAGCTGTCAGTTCTGGTCTAGGGAGCCTCAGACTTGTTGCCAAGGTTCTCCCCGGCCCCTGCATCCCC